CACGCATATATTTTTTAAACTTATCATATTGAAATAAATTAAATAATACCCACAGTTGGCCAGAGTTTGGGGAAACGGCATTTTCATACGCTGTTGGTGGGAATGTAAATTAGTGCAGCCTCCTGGAGGGCAATTTGGCAATACACATCAAAAGCCTTAAACATGTGCAAACCCTTTGGTACAGCAATTCGACTTCTAGACATTTATTCTATAAAGATAATCATGGAAATAAGTCTACTTTTATTTCCAGGATGTTGACTCTAAGGATGAAAAATTGTCAATATAAATAGTATAACTTGGAGACTGGTTAAATAAATTATACATATGATTAAATACTATGTAGTTATTATATTCTATGAGGATTTTTAATGATGTGGAAATGTCTCATGATATATTAAGTGAAAAAGATAGTTTATAAGAAAGTGTGTTTCTTGTGATCCCATTTTTATGATAATAAATATTAAAACAAGCTGGCATATAAAAAGTCCTAGAAGAGCAACCAGTAAAATATTGAGAAGACTTATCTGTGGATAGTAGGACTAGAGATTACTTTAGTCTTTTTTTTGTGTGTGCTTTTCTCTATTTTGCCAAATGTTCTGCAATAGACATGCACTATTACAACCAGAAGAGTGCTGTTAATTAACCCTCAGAAATAGAAAGGTCAGGCCAGCCTCTTCAGGGAGGGCATGACAAGGTGACCCCAGGGTCCTTGTCAGCTCTGACCACCTTGAATCTACAACCTGGCCCACAGATGTGGGTGGCCCCTATGCCCCATGTCCCTTGGCCACTTGTATTTCTGCACATGTGGACCTGGTTTCAGCTGAGGGGCCAGGAAGGGTGAATGCAGAAAATGCAGGCGACATGGTCTCTGCCACGGCCCTTTGCTTTACTCTGTTCTTGATCTTATTTCCCCCTAGAAATTAACAAGGTTCTGGCAAAAGAGAACAAATGTCCTCCTTGAGGATGGTCTTAAAGTTTTTTACTAAGATGCAAAAAGAAACAAAAACCAAACCAAATACTAAAAAACCCAACAACAACAAACTTCTCAACCAAAAACCAACAATAAAAAAAAAGATTTTTATCAAACTGATCACTCTCAAAACCATTTTTCTTTCCAAATGCCCCAAATGTATGTTCAGTCAATTAGAATGATTTTATATCATCATCTTTTCCTCCCCCTGCTTTTCGTTATTCCTTTTTTAATCTTATTTTGAACTGAGGTTGTAGCTCAGTGGTAGAGCGCTTGCATAGCATGTGTGAAGCCCTGGGTTTCATCCCCAGCACAATGAATAAAAAGATCTTTGATTGATTAAATTGAGATGTATTTTAATACATGCATACAATATGTAAGATTAGGATGATTTCTCTCTCTCTCTCTCTCTCTCTCTCTCTCTCTCTCAATACTGGGAATTGAACCCAGGGATGCTCTACTATTGAGCTACATCCCCAGACCTTTTTATTTTGAGACAGGGTCTCCCTGAGTTACTGAGGCTGGTCTTGAATTTGCAATCCTCTTGCTTTAGCCTCCAGAATTCTTGGAATTACGGGCATGAGTCACTGTGCTCAGCTGGGATGATTTCTCAAGCCTGTCTTTCCTTCTGTTGAGTTTTATTCAGTGATGAGGAAGATAGTGATACGTAGGGAGGGGCTGCCACACATTGGACTGGACATGGGCTTTGTAGGGAACTTATTTAATCCTTCAATTCCACAGGTGTGACCTCCCCAGGGTTCTGAGAGGTCAAGGACCTGTCCGAGTCCACACCACTGAGCTAAGAACTGGATGTGCGCCTGACCAACTTGAAGCCCATGGTGATCCTCTGTATAAATGAGGGGTCTCATAAGTGGCCAAGAATACTTGGCACCAGGCAGCCTCCCCAACCTGGGATGGCTGCATGGAGCCATCTGTAAACACGTTTCAAGCCAAGAGCAGGCCAAGCTCTCTTGTGCTCCACAGCTAAGAGATCAGTCTTCAGTTCAAAACACGTGGGTCCCCTGTGCCCACAGAAGTCCTTCCCTTCCTTGCATGGGCCTGCTTTCCCTCTTGCAGGGAAGCCAAGCAGGGTGTCATCCTATCCCATGGGTCTCACAAAAGAGATGCCCATGAGGGCGTTTGGAGGCATGCAGCTTGGTAAGCTTGCTCCTGATGCTTGCTCACTAATATCCTGAACCAGGAGTGGGCCCAGCCCAGCCAGGGAAGATGCCCAAATCTGTGTGGAGATGGGGGTCTGTATGACAGTTGGCCAGGGTGGCCTCTGGAAAGGGTCAACTGAGGTTTGACACCAATGTCCTGGAGATTTTGACAGGGTCCCTTTATCCCTCACTGGGCCCAGCCTGATTGGGACTTCTCAGTGATTAGAAGGAGCTGCTTTCAGGACCAAGGCTCAGAGCTGCCTGGGAACAGGAAGTGAGGAAGGCTCGCTGGGTCCTCACCCTTTTCCTTTCCAGGAAGCTCCCAGCTTCAAGCCAGAGGGACACTTGGGTTCCATATATCCCCATCCCTACATTCCCAGATGCCAGCATTCACAGAGTCCCTTCTCTGGGACAGGCTTGGAGCCAACATCTGTCACAGAATAAACTTCCTGTGTAATTCCCAACAATCTTGTAGTGTCCTCAGCTACTGACAACCTTGGTTTGCTGTGACCTGTGGCATTCTGGGTACTTGTGACCTCATTTTACCCAAACCCTGGCTCCCTAAGAAAGGGACCTTTATCATCCTCCATTTATAAGAAAGGAGCCGGGGACTCAGGATGGCTTGGTGGCTTGCCTGCAGTTCCACGCTGATGAGTGGCAAAACTAGATTCAAACCCTGGCTGCTTAACTCCACACCAGCCTCCTGCCTGCCTGTCACTCACAGAGCCACAGCCACCCCCTAACCTGACCTGGTCAAAGGAGGAAGGCAGGGAGAGGAGAAGCCTCTAGAGGGGACAGATGCCTTACTTTGGAAAAAATGTCACCATCATCAGCCAAGGAAAAGGGATCCCAGTCACCCTTCGCCCAGAGGAAGCAAACACGGGGCAGGAGGGAAAGTCACCAACCTCCCAGCCGTCCCCTTTGGATGTGTGGATATGCAGAGGGACAAGGGTGCTGGGAGAGCATCTGCAGAACTGGGGACAAGTTCTGGGCAGGGGAGGGCAGTGAGCTGTGGCTCCATCAGCCCCAAGATCGTGGGGGTGGGGACAGCTTAGACCTCACAGTGCTGCTAAGCTAGGACGTTTTGTAGGCTAGGTTCATATAGGCATTCTCTTTAAAATTTTTCTTCCTTCTCCTTTTTTTTTTTGGGGGGGGTCCTGGAGATTAAACCTAGAGATGCTCTACCACTGCTCCCAGACTTTTTTTTTTTTTTTCTCGACAGGTTCTCACTAAGTTGCTGAGTTTGGCCTTAAATTTGTGATCCTCTTTCCTCAGTTTCCCAAATTGCTGGGATTATAGATGGGCTCCATTAAGTGCAATTTTGATCTGAGAAAATTTCAATTTAGGATGGGGTACCAGGATGTAAGCCCATTGTAAGTTGAGCAGCATCTCTACAGAGAAACCCTGGAGGGGCAGTTAACCAGGTCTCCGGGAGTAGCTCTGTGAGCACCTAGCTGGGAATGCTGATAATCTCCCAGTGGGAGGCTGAAATATTTTAGCAAAAGCCTGTGACTCCCTAAGACTCTGGCTGCCATGTGCAGGAATGGGGACCTGACTGTTTCCTAATCAGGAAGGTGGCTGGGAGGTGGGTAGGACCCTGACCCCAGGATGCTCCCGGGGGATGAAGCGGATCATGGCTCCCTTTCACATTTCATTCTTTCTTCACGCAGAGCTGGGGGTTTCCTTGTCTGAGATGCCAAGTTGACTGCTGCTGGGGGAGCTGCCTTGATCAACTGGGAGACCCCAGGCTACTCTGGACCTAGCACGGGGTTGCTCTGGGCATAAGATAAATGTCCCCAAAGTTTCTACCCAGTCCTGGAGGACTGAGTTTGTGACCTACTTTGTGCTTTATGCATAGCTGTCCTCTCCTCAGTCTCATTTACTCCCAAGTCTTACACAGCACAGGAGGCTTTCATTACCCTATTCACAGAGCAGGAAATGGAAGCTCAGAGAGAGTGAGTATCTTTCCTGAGGTCACCCAGCCAAGAGCCTGTAGAGATGGAATCCAAGTCCAGGTCTCCCTGATGCTGGAGGCAGTACTGCTTTCCCTGGCCTACTGGGAAAGCATCTGCAGAACTGGGGACCACCTACTTCTGTCACTAGCCCATCCTGACCCTGGATGGATTTGGTCATTAGAACGACTTCTGAATCAACCAACATTTCCCATCCTGCGTCTTCCTGTCCCGAAGGCACAGAATGTCTGTCTCTCCATATGATGGTGATACTAAGTAACTCTTCCGCTGGCCCCACTCCTGCTCTGATGCATCAGGTCTTCTGGATGTGATTGTCACAGTCCTTAACCTCTGCAGGACTTGACAGTGTCAGGGTCACATCCTCTCTTAATTCTGATGTGGTGCCCCCGAGGCCTGGGCTGGGGGCGTCTACTCCAAGTGTAAGGTAACTTTTAGCTGAAATGTGGAAGATCTGAGAGGTAACGATACCAAAAAAGCCAGACTGGATCAACTGAAGCCCTGTTCCTGAGTGGTAACATGCCATGGGGGGCTGGGACAGGGACCCTCTGCCCACTGGGAAGAGACTGGCAGTCAGACCCTTTGGAAAAGGCATGTCCCAGCCACAGGCTGCACTCCCTGCTCAGGGCTGGCACTCTGTCCTGGAGGGTACAGTGTTGGGTGCACTCAATGCTTCTGGATCATCCATGGGAAACCTCTTTGCTTGTCTCCAGGGCAACCTGAAAATCTGTGTGGCCTGAGTCTGTGCAGACCTTGTGCTAGTCCCCTCCATGGAAAGATCACAGCTACTTAGGAGCAGAGAAGGAAGATAGGAGAGGAGAGAATTCAATCAAGTCTCAGGGAAAGGATATCGGCTTAAGAGGAAAGGGCAGAGAGAGCAAAAAATAAATGACAAATTACCGGGTAGCCATCTCGTCCTGATTGCCCCTGTGGTAATTAATATGTCATTAATAATCAGACTTTCGGCAGAAAACCATCTGGCAACACTTAGGACTCAGGGCCCAGCATCCCCCCCTCCACGTTCCGCATGGTTTGCAGAAGCGGCTGCTGTTGGCGGTAGCTCGCTGTTTTAAGGGGGAGAACCCTAGGGCTCCGATGGTCTGGGGGACAGAGGACCCTTTTCCTGCCAGTCGGGCAGCTGGAAGGGGCGTGAGCCTCCATTGGAGCCACCAGGGTGTGCACTCAGGTGTGTCCCTCCCACGTCATCTGGGGCATATGATGAAGACCATATGGGGACACGAGGTTCAGGAGGGCACTGTCACATCTACCATGACTGAACCAGGAACTGAAAATATTCCTTAAATTGGACTTGTGGAAATACTCATTTCCTCCCCGGTTCCACTGGGATGGGGTGAACTGGAGGAACAGGGACATTTATGGCTACTGGCTACTTCTCTGTCCCCCAGCAAAGGTCAGCCCTGATTGCAAGTTGTCGCTCGAACATTTCTGCATTTGTTTAATACATCTAGTATTTCAACAACCAAGTCAAAAAACAATCGCTCAACCATCCTCTGTATTTTGCATTTCAGCGAGCTCACCCCAGTCTCCGGGGGACCACCAGGAACATCCCCAACAAGGAAACCTCCCTTGTGGCCAATACATCTATGCATTTTTGTTGGCTTGCTTTTTTGGCTCAAAGTGGAGCTACATGCCTGGAGAAGCCCAGATCCGGAAGGGTGCTGATGGGGGAAATGAATTGGGATAAAAGGCAGTCAAACCCCAAAAGGGCTCAGCAGAAAAGAATTCCTTTGGAAGGTTCATTTTGGTTCAAGTGGACTGTCAATGTGCTTCTTAATGGACTCATCAGAATTTATCAGGTTCTGAAAAACTGCCAAGAGGACTCAAAGACAGAAGCATCTCCGGGCCTGGAGAATGTGAGATTTCCAAGGCCACGGAGAATCCTGCTTCCAAACTGCCCCTGGCCGACTGAACTGAGGGAAATTGTGGGGCGGCTCAGTGCTTCTCCTCACACCCTTCTTAACCACAGTGGCACTTTTCTGCTGCCATCTCAACACCCTCATCAGTCACTTAGGCTCATGAGGTCCCAGCTGTCTAAGCCAGGGAGGGAGACATTCTGGTCAAGAAGGAAAACGAATCCTGGACCTCGTGACGAAGCCCAATTCATTCCTGGAGACACTGCTTGACTCTACAGCCTCCTTTGCCAATGCTCATCTGATAAAAAAACATTTAAAAATATCAGCGGCTGCAGACCATTGCACAAATACGGGCCTTGTACTTGCATTTCTGTGCACTAGGTTGAGCCAAAGATTTGATAAGGAGCCGCCAGGCTCGTGCCAGTCACAGGATGTTTCAGCAGGCAAGTCACACCCACAGCTTCTAGGCTTGCCTTGCATTTTTCTGCCAGGTAAATAAAGAATATGGCCCCTGTCTTAGATGGATATTTTTCTTTTCCTCTCTTTTTTTTTTTCCTCTAGTGCTGGAGGTCAAACCCAGGGCCTTGCACATGCTAGGAAATCTTAGCACTGAGTTACACCTCCAACACAATTTTTTTCTTAATATTTTTTTTAGCTTTATATGGACAGAATATCTTTATTTATTTTTATGTGGTGCTGAGGATCAAATCTGGTGCCTTATGCATGTGAGACAAGTGCTCCCTATCTCTGGGCCACAACTTCAGCACTCATTTTTTTTAAAGGATACATCTTTTTAAACAAAAATTATTTTCATGGGTGTGCTATAGAGAGAAAACCGAATAAATGTCTTATCTTTCAGGAGATGAGCACAAAGCCAGGACACTTACTGGAGGACCTGCAAAACACAAGCAGAGGAGCCACCATCAGCACTGAAGACAGAGAAGGTCCCTTTGCCTGTTCTCAGCACAACTACTGGTCCCATCACCTCTTGCCAAGGTTTTAACGGTGTCACAGCTATTGTCTGTAATAGCTTTACAATCAAGTGTCAGTCCCAAGGCCAAGTGGCAGAGAAGAAGAGGCATTTTTGTCCTTGGAGGGGTCGGGATGGTCATGTGGGTGGTAATGACACTTGCCATATGTATTGGTTCATGCATTCATTCGAGGAAGCTGGTTGGTGCTCATTCATGTTGGGTTCTAGCAACTGAGTGAGAATTGACCTTGTTCCTGCTTGAAAAATAAGTTTTGGGGCTCACTATGGGTTCGCTCATTTCTATTGAGGGAAAACACTTTGGGGAGAGGTAAGGTCACATGGATCTGTGAGTGTGAGCAGAGTGGGGGAGGGGGAGGCCTGTGGTCCAGCCCTGGGGTTAGATGTGCATGAGGACATTGAAGGGGACAAGTCTAGAAACATTGGTGGGGGAGGGGTTGGTGTGTGTGTGAGTGTGTGTGTGTGTGTGTGTGTGTGTGAGAGAGAGAGAGAGAGAGAGAGAGAGAGAGAGAGATTGAGGGATGGCTGTAGTTGGTTAGTGATGGCACACATTCTGGAAAGTGGGCTCCAGTACTGGCCCAACCAGTGACTTCTCTGTTCCTGTGAGACCTCAAACCTCACTGCATAATGAGGCCACATACAACATGCGGTCAGTTGATCAATGAGTAATTATGGATGGCCCATGTGAGCAGGGAGCTGCCGGAGGTAAAGAATGGGACCCAGTAGTGAGTACAAGGGTCGAGACCTTTGACTCATGGAATGTTTATTCAACAGATGGACACTTAGGAAAACCATGCCGGGGGAAGCACAGGGAGTTCCAAGCACTCAACAAGGAGCTGCCCCAGGATGGCCGACTCAGGAAGAGGGATGGGCTGAGTCCAGGAGGTGAGAGAAGTGAGTTAACAGGGTGAGGCAGTGGAGGGAGGAGTGCTGCAGAGATGGAACACCCCAAGATCCCTGGGATTTTGAGGAGCAAGAGAAATGGAGCAGAATGCAGTGGAGGAGGGGCCTAGGTACAGACTCCAGCAGAGCGGGGGTGGGGGTGGGGGGGTGGGGGGTGGAGGATGAGGTGGGGTGGGGTGGGGGGGCTGTTTTCAAGTGACAGGCAGGAGAGGGCTTGATCCTAAGGGCAGCAGGATGTCACTGATGGGTTCTGCATGGAGGAGCAATGAGGGGGGCTCATAGGTCCCTGCAGGTGTCCCTGTGTGGATGATGATGGTGACGGACAGGTGAGAGTCAGGAGGCACTAGTCAGAGAGGTCAGTTGGGACTTGCTGGGTGACTGAATGGGAGGTTAAGGGAGGTTATGGAGGAAGGAGAGATGACTAGGATTTTTGGCTGGGAAAACTGATATACTAATCCTCAAGAATGGCAACACAGGTTCGGGGAGGTTGTGGTTTTCCTAACTATACCGGGGAGCAGAGCAGGGCGTTGGCAGCTCGGACATCCCATCGACCCTTCCTTTTCCAGCAAGACCTTGCTTCTTATTTTACAAAGAAAACAGAAGCTTTGGGAGAGTCACCATCACCTTCCCAAGGCCAGACGTACACGGCACCTGTGCCTGTGCTCACCTGCTTCTCCACATGCATGAGTTCATTCCAAGGGACTGACTCACCTCCAGTGAAGGCCAGCTTCCTGCAATGCCTTCCCTGGGTCCCTCCCTTCCCCTCTCCGCTCCCTGTCTGTTGCAGTCAGCTCACTCTCTCAGGCCAGATCCTTCCCAACAACTTTGAAATGCGCTCTAATCCCATTCATAAAAAAAAAGCACCTTTTGGTCCCAATCCCCTTCTATGACTACCCCATCTTTGCCTGGAGACTAGATTGCTTCCAAGAGGCATCCACTCTCACTGTCTTGAACTCCTCATCCTCCACTTAATTGTGACTCTCTGATTTGGATTCAACCCATTCCTTCTCACAATGTCTCCAAAGACCTGACCCGCCTCCACACCAATGAACCAAGCCATTGTCTCCTGCTCATTTTACTCGGCCTGCTGAATCCCTGCTGCTGACTGATGGCTCCTCCTTCTCCTCCTTTGATTTCTTTTGGTGCTAGGTATGGAACCCATGCTCTGCTCTACCACTGAGTTACATCCCAGACTGACTGAAAGGTTATTGAAGCAGTTGCTTCATGTGGCTTCCAAAATGTCATATTCCACCCACTTTCCTGGCCCCAGTCTTATGTGTGAAGTTTCCTCAAGGCTCAAGGGTGGGATCTAGCTCCTTAATTCACTTCTCTGCTGGTTCTTCTCTTCTGTCCTCTTTAATAATCTTATCCATGCTGTGGCTACCCTCTGCAGAAGAGTCCCGAATGTGTATCTCCAGCCCCGACTGTGCCTCTGAATCCCAGTCTCCCTTTCCGAGATGCCCACTTAACATTTCTTCTTGAATGATTCCATTTCCTCCAACACGTGCACAAACACACTTACGATCTTCTTCCCTAAGCCTGGCTCCTCTTCCATGGTTCCTGGTCTCAGTGAAGGATGTCACCCCCATCCAGTTGTGTGAACTGGAAAAGGAGGACCCACCCTGGATATGCTCTCCATCCCCCAATCTATTCATGCATCCATTGTTTCTTTTGCTTGTTTTTAAGTTTTATTTATTTATTTTTGAGACCTGGTCTCACTAGGTTGCCCAGGCTGGTCTCAAACTCCCAGGCCCAAATTATCCTCCTACTTTAGCCTCCCAAGTAGGTGAGACTATCAGCCCATTGTTTCCTACTCTGGAATCCATCCACTGATCTCTTTCCAACTCCACAACCCTAATCCCTCTTACTATCATCTTTGGACTGCTACAGTGATTCCCAGCTGACATCCTTAGTCACTCATCATTCCTCAGATACCAAGTGCCTGCCCTCTGCCAACCACTGTTCTAGGTACCTGGGATACATCAGTGAAAATGGCAAAAATCCCCATCTTAATGGAGTTTCCCTTCTAATGAGAGTGACAGATGAGATACATAAACATAACGAATCACTTGGAAGTCAATATGAATCATAGAAGAGAGGCTCTAGTGTTTAAGAGAGGGGGGACCATTTGTGCTGGGGAGGGGCAGATTGGAATACTCCACAGGATGTTCAGGGAAAATGTCATCCTGAGATGACCTCTGAGCCAAGCCTTGAAGGAAGTGTAGGTCTTGGGAGGGCCGATTGCTGGGGAAAATATGTACCAGGCAAAGGGAAGACCCAAGGGCAGGAGGGTGCCTGGCATGTTTAAGGAGCAGCAAGGGGAGCCAATGGGCCTGGAGAAGAATGGGAAGTAGCTGTAGAGAGGCACTGGGGTTGATGGCCGGTGGGGGAGGCCCTGTTGGCCACTCTTGGGACTTTATCTTATCTCTGTGATGGGGGAGCCCTTGTCAGATCCTGACAGGATACAACCTGGCTAGCATTTTAAATGATCACTATGAGGGGCAGCAAGAGTAGAAGCCAGAGGCTGTTTGCAGCAATGCAGGGGAGAGAGAATGGTGGCCCATAGCCAGAGGTAGCAGTGAATGGGGTGGAAGTGGTTGGGTTTTGGATCAGTGCTGAAGGAAGTGGTTAGGTTCTGGGTGGGTGGTGAAGACGCATGGAGAGGATTTCCTGACAGACTGAATGGAGAGCGTGAGGGGATGAGTCAAGGAAGATGCCATGATTTTGGCCAAAGGATGGAGTTACCATCCCTGGAGGTGAGGAGATTGTGCTGGGAGGGTTTTGCTGAAGGGATCAGGAGCTCAGCTTGGTGTACATGGTGTTCAGGGACACCCCAACTGTTAGGAGTTGGGGAGAAGAGAAGGAAGTCCTGAAAACCACGTTGTGAAAAGTGTCTTGAGGAGGAGGAGGAGGAGGGAGCGATCGCCTGTATAGTACCCAGTGATGGGATGGGAGCCTGACTGGAGACAGGTTAGGGGAGAAGAGGGAGGAATGTGAACCGCGAGTGCTTTTGAGGAGTTGCGCTGCAGGGGGAAGCAAAAGATCAGAGTGGATGCTTTGGGGTTCATGGGGTCCAGAGAAGAGTTTTTTTTTTTTTTTTTTTAAGATGAGAGGTACTATGGCAGTTTTTAATTGAACAGGAGTCATCCTGCAGAGAGGGAGAGATTCAACGAGTAGGAGAAAGGGAGATTCCTAGAGCAATGCTGTTGAGGAGGTGGAAGGGGCTGGTGCAGAGCGGGGTGCAGGTACATGAGGGAGCCTGGAGTCTCCAACCTCGGCAATGGGCAGGGAGGCAGAACATGGAGCTGCTCAGTGTGTGGCTGAGGATGTTGGAATTTAACTGAAGTTCTCTTCTGGTTGTGCCCACTTCTCTAGTGAAGTAGGAAGTGAGGCTGTCAGTCCCAGGTGACCAGGATGAAGGAGGCCGTGGGTGGCTGGGATTCAAAATTGGTGTCCTGTGAGCTTCGTGGGTGCTGGAGCCGGGCAGGTGAAGAGTAAGAGGTGAAAGGGTAGCAGGGCGCAGGTTGAAGGAACTGAGTGCTGTAAACTGGAGGGGACGAGGGGCAAGGAACAAGGTGGTTGATGCATGGATCTGAAGATGGGTGAGGTGGAAGGATTGTGAGGTCAGGGAACTAAGGGAGTGGGCTGGACTCTGAACTGAGGTTTTGTGGACTGCTTTTATTAATGATGATGAGGAACTGGGCCAGGTCATGGCAGTGGGAGGCTGTGATGGTCCTGTGGGGGTCCAGGTCACTGGAGAAGAGGAGGCCATAGAACCCAGAGGTCAGCATGTGTGAGGAGCTTCTTCCCAGATTCACTGGACTGGGAAGGGTAGAAAGGAGGGGAAGATAGAGACAGTTGATTGATCAGTACATAAATACAGTTGGATAGCAGGATTACTATTTTCTTTTCTTTTTTTTTTTTTTTACAGTATTTTTAGTTGTAGATGGACACAATATCTTTTTTTTTTTTTTTTTAGAAAGAGAGAATCTTTTAATATTTAT